GAAATCCCACACGATGTCGAGTAAACCATAGACATCGCAAACCAAAAAACTAATTCATAATTAATTATCTAACGTTATCTAACATTATGATGTTTATCCAGGCCTACGGAAACGTCAAAAGTCATTGTTTATCCAAGACTCCCTTAGCTATGCATAGGACGCGATATAAATTAATAATAATAAGAATATGAATACTAATGCGGTAAGCAGTTAAAATAGGATCAGTGCTATCCAACGTGAAGGCGTTCGTTGAAAATGAACAAACGTGGTTATATGACGTTGCGTTTAGTTGCATTTGAATATTACTAACACGTATTTCTATAATATCTTTCAAACCAAATTGTTTAAAAAACCATGATGCAATTATAACATGAGTTAATCTTATTTTCAGCAATTATTCAAAGCACGTCAACCAGAAGAACGTACCGAACTATAAAAGAAATAATACACAATTCTTCAGTTTGGCATTAAGTTAAAACAGAAAATATATTAAAAAACAATCTTTGGCCCAAACATATAATTACAGGTAAAAAAATTTAAAAACCGTTGGTAAAAAATACTTATTTTGCGCCTTGAAAAAAATGATTACCAATGATAATCAATCTAAGGAACTGTTTCATTTATGCATTTGTGATAATCAAAATTTTAAAAAGAAAACTTTTGAAGCATGTCGAGCGTCTGCTATGGGTGAACCCCATAGTGGAAGCTCACTTGCCAAAATAGAAATAAGTAACAGAATTCTCAGAAGCATGTCGAGCGAATGCCGTGGTTGATCCCTGTGGCTGGGGCTCAATTTTCCGAAGGGAAAAAGTAACATAAGCAGTAATTGTGTTGTCTGGTACATGCGCGGGATGTGACGTCGAGTGATGGCAAGTTAGATATGGCTGACATGGTGCAAGTTTTTATTTTGGATACGTCTTAATGCTGTGAAATGGATGAACTGGGCTGGTGCGTTGGGTAGTCTGGACTGGGATTTTTTCGACCGGCGGTAGCGGTTTTGAGTTATATAAACAAAATTTATAACAAAATTCACCAATAAAATAAAAATAGAGAACATTTTCTGAAATAAATTATTAAATAAAGGTTAATGCCAACAAGGCACATCGTAGCACCATTGTGGGAGCTGAAATGCCGTTAAAGTTAAAAAAAATTTTAGAGCTACCTTCACTTTGTCGACGTGTTGCCCAAAGCTAGTTTCTGAGACGTGACTCGGTTTATCTACAAAATATGTCTATGATCTAACCTGGTCTACGAGCTTGTTGTAAAAGTAAAAATCAAATGTATAAAGATTCCAGATTAAATGGTTTGGTTTTATTTTTTAATTTTCACAAATTTTCACTTATTTTAATATTTGATTCAATGTTTTTAATATATATTAATATTTTGAATATACAAACATGCCTATGTTTCTTCTTAAACTAGTTTAAGTGTTTAAGTCTGTAATGATTTGTAGCATATTTTTATGTCATAACAGCAGCGTAGGCAAGGGAGGGGCTTTGGGGTTGAATAAAAACTTTTGGTGGGACTAAGGCGAAATTTAATAAAATTTCTATTAAAATTTGTAACGATTTGGATTGAAAACTATTGCAGCCCCTAGAACAATACAATTAAGTAAAAGTTTGTACAATCACCGGTTTTGATAAAAATTTAACGCTCGTTAAGAACTACAATAAATATCAAAACCAATTATATTTAATATTGAAAGTATCACTTGCTAGCGATGTTAAGTAGTTTCTTTCCCAGTTTAACTGGTTACTTAATAAGTTCATAACGAAATGTGCCATATCTACAACTATCTGGACTTTCTTACTCTCTCTTTTTCGTTTTGCAAACTTGGTTTTCGGGAAGGTAGCTCTGAAATTTTGTTTAATAAGAGGCTTCTTAGATTGATGTTCATGGTTTCATGATTATTAAAATTTAAAACATCAATATTAGATGAGTTAAGATTAACTGTTAAATAAATCCGGTATTAGTGATTTATTCACTAAAATTATAATTTGCAAAAGATTTACAGTTGAAAAACATTACTCAGTTTGAATATCGCTGGTTGAGTTGATGCAGTTATTTTATTGCTCAATGTACATTAGATAGTTTAATGCATTTCTGAATTTATTTTATCTAGCTTTGTTAAGGTAAAAAAAATCCTGCTTATAGTCATAAATTATTATGATATATAAGACATTTGATTTCAACGCAATCAATTGTAATTTTTAAACGTTGGTGTACCAAGTCACAGAGATGAGGTAAGTCTACCTCTTTCCAAATTAAAAAAAAAACTTAATCAACTGAAATATTTTGGCTTACATATTTCAATTTGCATTCCTACATAGGATTTCAAATAGCTCTAAACCGCAATTTAATTCTTCAATAAATGTAAAAATTTACAGTTTTTTCAATTGGAAATATGTAATCACCTGTTTGTATGCGTGTATAATATTTCTTTTTCTTTTATAATATTATTCCGTTTCAAAATCGCCATCTGATGAGCGATACTTTCTTCGCGTTCATATTTTTCTTCCTTTTTCTTATAACAATGCTCTTTCTATAAAAAAAATAAGACCATTTTTGCGTTGGAAAGTTGAAGATGTATAAAAAATAATTTTCATGTACAGTTCTCAAAAGTCGATCATAGTCAAACTCCCGCTTTAATCTTTCTTGAAATAAATTTCTTATCTTTTTATCATTTCTCAAATCCATTGTTTGAAAATTGTTGACTTGTTTTTTTATATTATAACTTATAGAACGGAGTATACCTTAAAAAAACAAATAGTTTATTAATAAAAACAATCAAAAAATTGTTTGTAATTAAATTTATTTTATCATAATTTTGCCTGAATATTAACACCTACATTGCTTATCGAAATCTTCCATGCTGTTTATGTTGTCTTGAGACATTTTACGACTATTCACTTTCAAAAAATTCAAGTAATCAAAATTCAAAACCGACAAGCTGTCTGCGTAAACATATGACGCTTTGTTTATACATCAACGACGCATTTAAAATATCATAGCACTCATTTTTAATTTAAATCGTCGTCGGAGCCGGACGAAGCCTTTATCGGGTAGGCGATAGACACTAAACCGAGTCCGGGTCCCAACTTTGTCACAATAAATTATTGCTACGTTACTGGTATGAATGAAAACTGCCATTAACGATGTTACTAATGTGTACGGTGAAACGAATGGTGTTGTGAATGAGGTTATTAAGGTGAATGATGGCATGAATGTTGATACAAATGATAACATCGATTTAAATGTAATTGATGACATGATTGCTAATATGAATGATGACATGGATGCTAATGTGAATGATGATATTAACTTTACTGTGAATATCAATACTGTTTTGAATGATGGAATTAATGTAAATGATGGTATTAAATTTAATGATGACATGAATTATAATTCACTTATTGATATGTTCAATAACATATATGCTGATTTGCCTAGCTAATTTGTCTCAATTTCTAATTATTTTACTCTGTCTGAGATGAATAATAATATACTTGGTGACTGTGATCAAGACGCCCAACGGTTGATTGTTGTGCATATAAATTGTCGCAGTTTAAGTGCTCATCTGACGGAAATAATTGGACTTGTCAATGACATAAAAATCAAAAATTGTATTACTGCCTTGACTGAAACCTGGTTGCAGGATAATACCATTCGTGAATATATCCATGCGAAGCTACCATCATATGATATTGTCATAAATAACAAACAACAACAACACACATTTAGACGACATTTTCCCCGAGATCGGGGGTTGCTGTTTGGCTACCTATGATGAAACCGAAATACCCCTCGGATACTGAGGGCCATTGTCACTTCTGTCATCATAAGTAATTTCTTTGGCTAATTTTTACGCAGGACGCCCTTTCTTACGCAACCACAGTTATAAGCGGTGGGCCTAGCCTTTGATGATCCAACATCACTCACAAGGCAGTGAGGGTCAGTTTAATGTCATAACCAGGACAGATTGTCATAAATAACAGAACCATCAAAAGAGGAGGTGGGACTGGTATTTTATTTAGTAATAATATTGTATATCAAAAAAAAAAAAAAAAAACTTAAATACTAATCAAAATTTTAATACTGACTGCTTTGAATGGTCAGGCATTAGAACTTATTGTGTAAATAAATATTATTATTTTTTTAGTATATATAAGCCTCCCAATGTCAATGTAAATGACTCTCTAGAATCCTTAGATGTCTTTTTTAATGAATGTATCAGAATTGAGAAGGGTTCCAATGTATATGTACTTGGTAATTATAACATAAATATTGCCATTGACAATTATGCAAGCCAAGCTTTCCTGAATCTTATGAGGGGTTTTGATTTGAGTTCTATAATTAACCGACCGATGCATGTACATAATACCGGTGCGTCTATCATTGATAACATTTTTACCAATGACATTAACTATCTTTCTAAGGGTATCTTGTGTGAAGATTTGTCGGATCATCTGCCAATTTTTATTTTAATAGGATGGGAAGGTCTCATTGTTGCCAACCATCCTCGTCCCCAGATAAGAACTCGAGCAATCAATGCTGTAAACTTAAATTCATCCAACAAATCCTTAGTGAATTATGTTGGCCGGATTTTTCCAGTGATTCTAATTTAGATTCTGATTATGACAATTTTTTTAACTTATATATTAAATGCATCAATAGCTCCTGCCCAATAGTTGTCAAAAGAAATCGATTTAGAAAACCGTGGATGGATGTTGAGTTATATAATATCTGTTTACACAAAAATAACTTGTACAAAACGTATTTGTTGCGTATTCCTTCTCTTTGTAATAAAAATATATATAATGAATATAAGAATTATTTTATTAATTTGAAAAGAGCTAAGGAAAAACTTTTCTATAAAAATAGATTTAATAAATGTCGAACTCATAGAGAAAAATGGAATGCAATAAATAGTATGACTAGACCCAAGCCATCCGAGTCTCATCTCCTCAAAGATGATGACTATATGATGAGCAAAATAAGAATAGTCAATAAATTAAATACATTTTTTATTGAGCAAGGTAGTAAACTAACTCTTTGCAGTCCACCCAATCCGTTCCCAAATCAATCTTTGTTTAACCAACTCAATTATTCATCTTTTCTGGCTGTGGATATATCTCCTGACGAAGTCATTTTAATAACGAATGAATTAAAAAGTAAAAATAGTTATGATGGTGATCTTTTATCAACAAAGCTGTTAAAGAACACCATTCATACCATTGCACATCCGCTTGCATCATTGTTTAATAAATCCATACGAATTGGTCACTTTCCAAAAAGAATGAAATTGGCTATTTGGGGCCTCTCTTGTTTATCCTTTTTGTTAATGATATATTTTCAATATCAAACACTTGTACCCCTATTTTTTTGCATATGACACAAGTATTTTTCTGTCTGGAGATGATCTGGTGCAACTGTTCTCCGATATGAATGAACAATAAAGCAAATTTTTCAATTGGTTTACTAAAAACCGTTTGGTCTTAAATTTAAAAAAGTCATGCTACTTGGTCTTTGGCTTTAAGGCAGCTACCAGAAATGAATGTCCAAACAAATTGAACATTCACATTGAAGGCTCGGTCCTATCAAGGAACCACTCTGTGAAGTTTCTTGGTATCATAATTCAATCCATTCTAAAATGGAACGAGCAGATATGTTCGGTTTAGAAAAATTGTACCAGGTCATTGGCATTGTTTGTATATCTCGAGCAAAGTTGAACAACCGTTTGGTGATGTTGATTTATTACTCATTGTTTTATTCGTACTTGATATATAAAATGTCTTCTGGGGTTCGACCAATAACTATGCAATATATACAAATATAACTTCTGTCGAAATTTACTTAATATTTAATTATACAACAGTTGAGACTTTAAAGGCAGGCCTGACAATGCAATTTGCGTTATTATTTGATCATCAGTGAATGTTTGAAGAATATCTTTCTCTGCTGCTATTATCATTAATGCTGATAAATAATCATCTGCCATGGTAGACCTTAGGCGGTTCTTTATAATTTTCAGCTAACTTAAAGCTCTTTCTGCAGAGGTACTTGATAAAGCAAGAGAAGCAAATATTCATCAGCAAATTGCGGTAACCAGATAGTTGATGAAGAACATTAAGTGGTTTTATGAAACTGCAATTTTTCCAATTATTAGTATCATTCGTTTGGGCTTCTTTATATGCCATATTGTTATTGTCATCTTCTTCATCTGATTTATCAGAAAATATTTCTATGCCAGAGTTATAACCTGAACTTGCAGACAGGTTTTCCATCTTTTCGTCATTTTTTAGCAACGTGTATTCTTTTTTAAATTCGTTCAGTTCATTTGCAACATCCTCTGCGTTGACAATACTGGTTACAAACAGTTTCTATTTCACTAGCCTTAACACAACGGTTGCTTAAAAGTGTTTTGGGAGTAAATAGCGAAAGTTCTTTTAAAAAAACCAAATTTTGCTGCTCAAATCTACTTTTCATTTGTTGATTCACCTCATCTAAAACAATTAAAAAGCATTCATTTTTAATTTTATTTATTCCAACTGAACATTCGTCTCTGCAACGTTCATCAAACTTTTTTTTTCGTACGACGTCTTTCAAAATCAAAATCTGGGCTGTTGCGAATGATTTCGATTCACTGCATATTGTTTTCCACGTCAAATCAGCATTTTTTCTTATGATGTCAAACGAATGAATGCGGTCTTTTATTAGTTCTGTTGAAGACGCCATGTCAATTGATATACCCTGCACTGCTTCGGATACAGGACCAATAATATTATAAACCAATTTTAAAATTTTCATGCTATGTTTTTCATTCTTTTACGAACTCCGAGTGCAACAGTAACTGTTTCACTGTCACTCAATGATGATTCAGCCAACTCGGATAGACTTGCTAATATTTCTGAATATCTTTTCATCACCGTTTCTACGGCTGATTCTGTGCTGTTCTAGCGAGTGATTTGAACACGCTTTAATTGCATTTTATGCTGACAATTACTTTGAGAATTTTGGAATACAGCATTTCTGCGATGACCATTCATGAATGAATATAAATCTTCTAGCAGTCCTAGCGTATTTTTTATTTCATTACAGCATTTCATAACGCCATTCATCACTAAATTTAACCTTTGTGCATTGCACCAAATATAAATTGCTTTTTTACACTCCTTTTGAATAAGAGTAGCCAATCATGCATACCGACCTCGCATGTTACCTGCACCATCATAGCATTGACCTATCACCCATGACATATTAAAATTCAATTTAGTCAGAATATCAATAACTTCTCCTTTGAGTATCTTGCCCGATGTTTCTCCACAAGTAAAGACTTCCAACAATTTTTCAACTGGATGCAAATCTCCCATACTATTTATTTCTAGATATCTCAGCAAAAAAACATTTGCTTCCTTTTTACTAAAATCTTGTGTGCTATCACAAATAAGACATGCCTTTTGTTGTTCTGCAATATTTGACACAATTTTCTCAACAATCATTCGTTTCATTGTTGTCAAGACAACTCGAATATTGCTGGATCTTAGAAAATTAAATGCCATTTTCTTTCTTAATCTATGTGATTCCTCAACTTTCATCAGATATGCAGCAGCACTTGGATCCCGTTTAGATATTGTTCGAAAAAGATTTATAAACTTTCCATTATTAGATGTTTTTCCACGAAAAGCTATCATTTCTTCACTTAGGTACTTAACACAATCTAAAATGCATACCATAAGTTTTCTATTTTCTTGAATTATATCTTTTCTATTTCTCTCAATGAAGACATCTACGACCAATCCTCTTTTTCAATTTATTTTTGCAATATCAGCTTCGCGATGCTCTGCACTTACTTCATGACGAATGATATCCCGCAAACCATTATGCCAATTATTAAAACCTGATGTTGTCCATACAACTAAAACTTTTGGGCCGGAAAACATAATACAAGTAATAAAGTAAATTTTGTTAGTTCGTTTGCTTTAAGACAACCATTGTCTCTTACATTTTGAGCCATCTGAACCATTTGAACCATTCTTTTTGGAAACTGCAACCATCAGTAACAGGATAGGAATAGTCATTTGGTTGATATACACCAAGTGCCAGGCATGTTGTTATTTCATGCCTTTTCAATATTCGTCCACAAAACTGAGCTGCATCATTTTTGTCTAAAGCTAAGTTTAGATTTTTACAATAATTAAATTTATTTTCAATATTTTTTTCAACTAAACTATGAGCATTCAAGTTGGAATTGTTAGATTGAATCAAATCACAAACGTTGCTGTTGGATTCAGCTGCCTCTGTTGGCAAATATTCTTTAGCAACAACATTACCAATATCATCATCTGATTTTCTCATATCATTATTACTGCCTGCTGGCATTAAACTTGTAGATGGTGAATTAGTTTGGCTTGAGCTTTGTGGTTTCCATTTGCCATAGATGTCTTTTACTGAAACAATGTCTTTTTTTATGTCTTCACCTCTGTAATAAAGATATTTGAATGGGTGTAAGAATTAAATGAAAGGAGACAACACAAATAAACGACGCTTTCAAATTATTTTTCAAAAATAGGCCATTCAAGTTTGACTCATTCCTGGATTCTCAACAAAACAAATTTGCCTACATGCAACTCTTGTAACGAAAAACTAACCATCCATCACATTTTGGTCAAATGTAATAGTCACAATAATAGTAGGAAACGACATGACATCCCTTCAGAAGTAGAAAAAATTGTTTCCAGAGATAAAATCAATAATCTAATATCATTCCTTCAGGAAATACAAAATTTAATAGAATTTAAAAATAATTTCTCAAAAGTTTTAAAACAACAAAACGCATTTATAGAAAAGGAACAAGGGGCGTAAAAATAGCCAGTTGTGCTGAAACGCCGTTAAACTGCACAAACAAACAAACAAACAAAATTATTTTTCAAAATCTGTTTAGTTTAGTTTAGTTAGATTTAGAGAATAATCTTGCATGCATATATCAATGATCTTTTCTGCAATGCAAACTCCACTTATCTTGGCGAATGATCTTGCGACATCCGGGCTGCAAACATTTGTACTTACAAAAAAATTTCTGATCTCGAGGCATTGTTTTAAAAAAATTATTAATCCGGAATAAAAATTTTAATAAAACTAAAGCGACGCAAAATTGAATTCAAATATTCAATATTAATTTAATCAAAACAGACGAGAATATTTGGCTCCGCCCATGAAACTAAAAGTGATTTCGATGTAAACTCGTTGAAAATTTAAAACAGACGAGAATAATTGGCTCCGCCCATAAAATTAACTAATAGTGATTTTGACGTAAACTAGTTGAAAGTTATTAATTTATAACAATGAGCGCGAAGTAACATAGTTATGTTGAAAATACGTATGTATGTTTCTAAATTGTTTAAAATGTTTGAATCTTTTTTTAATGTAACACAAAAAAATTCCCCCCCCCTAGCTTAAAATGGAGGCAATTGCCTCTTCCCCCCCTTCTGTAGACGCCCTGTATATGAGAGTATTATTGATATTGATATTATTGTATTATTATTATTACTACTGTTATTAGGTGGTAACTTGTTAGTATTATTGATGTGTGTATGTATATATCTAAATGACAGTTTATTGTTTATTACAAACACTGATGTTGTTAGTTAAGGGTGGTCTCCACAAGTAATTCACTTTTATTGATCTCCTGAATTTTTTTGTTCAAATAAAAATTTGGGAAAAAAAACGTTAAAGCCAGTATTAATTATCAACTTTAGATTAAATTTCTTTTGACATTTTGTCAATTAAATAGTTATTTTTGTCAATATGTTTTACAAACTTCATAACTTTTTTCGATTTCTGTCACGCAAAAACTTTGTATTGAACAAAGGAATAGAATTTTACTAATTGAACGCTGACCTGGAATCATTAGTGCCATATAATCAGCCGGAGCAAAACAGTAGCCAGGAGGGTGGCTGCAGCCACAAAGTTCTTCGTTGTATGTAGGAATGCAACAATACATCGATATTTGCAAAATGTCAATATATCGATATTTTGCACGATACATTACGATAGTCGAATTCTCAAAAACATCGACAACAAAATTTTGGTACTTTAAACAAAAACTTATCCATATTTTAAATCCTATCCTTAGATCAAGAACTGATCACAAACTTTGAATTTGCAAAAGAATTTAGCGTCTATGTTTTTGCTCTATCTCTCTCTAATAAAATTGTATTTTGACTGCATACACCAATTCATAAAGCTCTGGAATCATATTTTTGGCCAAATTGATCAACGCCGGGCTTTCACAAGACTACATTGTTCACTTTATTCTTTTGTAAGCCAACATCACTCTGTTAGTAACGTTTTTAAATTTTTAGCAAATACGGCATTTTCCTCGCTAATGACACGCACCGCACATTTTTGTCACCGCGGATAAAATCTAATAAAAACTGTTCATAACTTACGAGAATGTACTTGCAAAGCTCCTCAGTGGTACATAAAATCTTAATTTTTTTCACTTTAATCCTCGCAAGTAAAATATGACTGATATAAACAGCTCTTAGAAGAAGCATTGAATCCATGCATAGCTCAGTCAACTCTTCTTAATTATTATCGTAAAATCAATGTAATCAGCGTTAACCTTTCAATCACCAGATGCACAACTCTTCAATTAGAGGGTTAAATGTAGTGTGATCATCAAATGACGCATCATAAATTACAATTAATTAACTTCTTTTAAATATGAATATATACTTCTATTATATATTTTTTAAAGTAAAACGTTTCAAGCAATTTCACATCTGTATAAAAATTCTATTTGTGAGTGAAATTAAAAATAAATTTTATCCAAATTCTAATTCAATTTTATAATTCTTTATTCAAAATAATTTGCCGAAGAATATTTACTTGTTGATCAAAATGAAGAAAACAATACGTATACTTTATACGATATCAGCCGTTATGCAAATATTTATAGTCCATGAATTCAATGGTGAAAATTTTAACCTTTTTTTAAATTTATAAATTATTTTGAACATTCAAATTAAGTTCATTATTAAAAAAAACTAGTAAAAACTTTACATAACTGTACATTACAATGCCAGTGCCCATTATTTACCAGCCCGACATTGCCCGCGATTTGAAGAAAGTTCTTTATTATATGGAGAACTGGAGTATGATGAGGGAATAAACCTCATGGTTGACATCTGCCGTAAGATCCTAGGTCAGGAAAGTGTGCTCGATATATGTACAACGTGATTGAGCGTAGACCTCATTCGTACGTTAAAGATAACATGAGCGATGTCGTTGGAAAGATTGTGCTAACCAGGTACAATAGAACGTACAGAGTGGACGATATCGACTAGAATCACACCCCGATGAACACCTTTTCTATGAGAGATGGCACCACCTAGATGTCCTTCAAGGAGTACTACCGGACTAGGCACCACATTGACCTCCTAGACGACACACAATCTCTTCTCCTGAGCATGCCCAGTAGACGGGAGAGGAGGGCCGGCCAGGAAGGCCCGATATGTTTGATCTCTGAATTGTACATTGTCACTGGTATATCTGATGAGATCAAATCAAATTTTCACATCATGAGGGAAGTATAAACTCACACGAGGCTTGGACCTCACGAGAGGTTCGCCAAAATCAGAAATCAAAATCAAATATATTGAACAGAAAACAAAATATTTTCATAAAACGACTTTTAAGCTTCAATTAAAAGACATTTTAAATATGAAACTAACAACTGTGAATTCATTTAAAGTTTCAAAAAGTTGAATGCAAAGATCAATATTTTGCACTGAAATGTTGGAATAAACCAAGTTAACAAATGTGGCTGTTTCTGCTACGATGTTGAACGACTTTATGTTGTCCGGCTGCTCTCTCAAATAGTTTTGCACAATAAAAATTAATTTTTTACCACTGAAATTCACAAATTTACACGATAAAACTAAACTTGAAAATACTTTCTTAAGTAAAAATATAGTCAATATAAATGAACATTTTTAAATTGAGAAAAAACCTGCAATCCTGCGTGCTGACCATCGCACATTCGAGCAAGCACATTTAAGACAACGCCGATGCATCTGCCGTTCTTTTGATCGAGGTTGCTGAGGTCGTCCTCGTCTTCGTCATCCATGCCATCATTTTGAATGTTGTCCGAGTCTTGCTGGTGGTTGTCGTCAATATTTACGATGACTGTATTTTTGTAGAGGTCGCTTTGTGATGAGAGAGAGGAACTCATTTGCTTTAACTTTCCATTCTTCTGCATTCATCTGATTGCTTTCAAGACGCTGTTGCTTCCTCGTTGCTTTATTTTGCAAAACTGATAAACTCATTTTTTTCTGAATAAATGGCAATCTAGAAATAAATAACATTCCACTACACAACATGTGTGTGATATTTTTCAATATTTTTGCTAGAGCTACATATGACTAAGATAAATAAGAGAAACACGGACATTGAATGTCCATATTTTACCTGCAATGTTTTTAGGCCATAGACCTGCAATGGCCATAGTAGTGAGCATACTTTTTGATTGCGCCATAACCTCTTTGGCACGTGCGCGGTGCTCGGCCAACAGAGAACGCCTGAAAGTATCAACTATTTAAACTGATTGAAGGAATTTATTAAAACTTAAAATGCGCCTTATTAAAAATTCTATATTTTTTCAAAAAGTTTGACCATAACCAAAAATTTGTTTTCATAAATATTCTCAAAAATCACATCTCAGCAGTGCTAATCTTTTTTCATATTTCTTTAAAAATTGTCCAGGACTCAAAGCCGTACGTTAGAACAGGAAAAATGTAATAACTTAATAACAGTTTTAATTTTCTTAATATTTTGATTTTATTGATTGGTGGTAAAGATGTTTTTCATTTTAGTATAACCATCTTTAGCAATAGCTATACTTCTTTTGATATCCATATCACATTTGCAACGTGAGGAAATCAGACTTTCAAGATAATTGAAGCTGTTGACTTGTTTTATCTGTTTACCATTAATGATTAAAGAGCAGATTTTGTTTTTACTAATAATCATGCACTCTGTTTTGTTGATGATAATTTGCGAGCCTTCCCTTTCACTTTCAAAAACCAGTTTGGAAACAAATGTTTGCAGTTTTTTTTATTGAATCTGCTATAAGAGAAGAATATTTCAGGTAGATCTTTTATTTTTCTCATGATGATTTCACTATAGAGATTGTACAGGTCTTCAGAGAATACATAGCCTTACCTAACACCTTTCTTTATTTCGACAAAACTAGTCAACTTGTTACCAGCTTTCATTGCTACACTTTGTTCCCAGTAGAGGCTTTTGACAAATCTCGTGTCTTTTCCTAAATGTTGAAATTTTTCAATAATTCCATAAGCTCCACGCGTTTCACGCTTTCAAAGCTAAGGGTCCACACATTCATTATTTGCAACATCTTTGAAACATTTTATTGTTTGTTTGAAAAAATAAGTTTCTCATTTTTTATATGTTTAAAATTTTTAATGAGTAAACTGTTTTTATTGTAGCTTATTTATTACCATTTATAGTTTGCAAAAACAGTGGTCATGCACATGTAGTTGCATACGTCCTATCTAAGGCGTATAAATGACAGCTAGTGCAAGTCCACACTACATCTATATAGTTGTTTTCAACATTATTTTTCAAATGTCTCAAATTTATTTTCATTTTACTATTTTGCAGCTGCAAAATTACAAAGAAAAAAGCAGCATACTCTGTGTACCTATCCAGAACTGCACCTAACGATTAAAACCTGAACAAATTTATTAATGTTAATGCTTTGGCACTATTTACAAGCTATGTTTTTCATTTTGTGTTCGTTAAAAAATTGATCAAACAACTGTTACAACACAAATAATTCTGAATGCGTGCAGTGGCGGATTTGATGGGGACGGGACCCGTTATCATCACTTCAACAACATTTTTTTGTAACTTTTTTAAATTTGAAGACTAAGCCGATCTTTACATAATAACGCTAGTCGCCCTACAGCAAGAAAAATCATAAAGTATCTATAAAGATTTTCAGCGATGGGAAGTTACTAACTACAAATAGTTAAATAGTTAGTAGTAAATAACTACTAACTAGTAGTTAAAAAGTAGTTAATAACTATTTTATTTTGAATAGTTATTAACTACTAATTAACTATATTTTTTTGTAGTTATTAACTATCATAGTTAACTATTTTTTAACTACTTGAACGTAATTTCCATCAGAATTAATTTTTATCTTTTAAATTGCACATCCCTATCTTAAAATTTGTTTATTAGTTTCCGCGTCGACGCCATTCTTTTTTCAGCTTTTTCTATTGCGTGCGCGATGCGGATAATTTGCGTTTGATTAATTATTTAATATGAATTCTCAAATTATTAAACTGTGCTTTATTGACGCCTTTTAAAAAATAGACGACGTTAAAAAATGTGTGTAACCTGTAACTCAACATTTTGTAACATGTAAAGTAAAAGTAAGTGCTTTCTTTAGTTTGTCTTTGCATTTATATGAGTTATTTAGTGTTAGTATAAGCTTGTTTTTGGCAAAGTAGGCGATCGGTACTGGGAAATTCCATAAAAACATAATAATGTAATTTACAAATTTCAATTTTTATATATTAAAATATAAATAAACTAGGGCTAGGTTAGGATTTTTTATGTTTACATTAACGTTTTTTTAAAAGTTTTTAAAAATAAAGTAAATAATACAACTTTTTTCTTACAGCTTACAACTTATTTAAGAAATAATATCCTCAATTTGAAATTAAGATGAATTAAATAAGTTTTTAAATAAATGAGTTTCCATAAGCATAAATTTATTATGAATTATGTCATTTAAAAAGTGGAGGTGCTGCATTAAGCTTAATTTGTTTATAAAATTATTTACAGTGATGGATTAATTACTCCAAAAAAGTAGTGAACTACCGAAGTTAACTACTTGACTTAAAAAAACATAGTCAGAAGCTACTTTTTAACTACTTATTAAGAGAAGAAGTTATGTTATTAACTACTTCTTAATAATAGTTAACTACTTTTTAACTAATTTTAATTGTTATTATTAAAATTTAAAAGAAACCCTTCTGAAAAATTTTTGTAAATTTATTAACCAACATATATTCTTTTTTAATCAATCAATCAATCTTCGATTAACGTCCATAGACCTGGTTTTCCGAGGTAGGACGTTGTTTTCTTTGCCATCAATTTTTTGCCCCAAATTAGACAATCAGTTGTATCCAATTCATTTAAATTTAGAGCTTTCATGTCTTGCTCGATTTTTTGCGACCAGGACTTTTTTGGTCGGCTTTTGAGACATGTGTCAGGTACTTCAACATCTGCAAGAGAAGTTATGGCACTGTTTCCACTTCGTTTGACATGACTAAACCACCGCAGACGGTGTTGCCGGCTGAAGGCAGCAGATGTCAATCCTTCTACGCTCGTGCATTTCTGCGATTTCCATGCTGCGGCCAGTCAGTGATCCAGCATTGAGCGTTCCAAGTCTAAATACCATTGAGGGGCCATTCTGAATTATTCTGCAACATCCCTCCGCTATTGCATACTTCCCAGAAATTCTTGGCACCCCTTGACCACTTAAGTCTGCAACTTTCCAACATTTCAGCAGCGATATAGACCGCGGATGAAGATTTATCTTTTTCAGATACTTATTGACGTATTTTTTTCGTTCCAAGACCGATATATCGGCATCGAGCACGTTCTAGTCCTAACTATATTTGCTATCGTATTCATTTCATTTTTCATTCGGCTTCATTTTTTTTAATGATCGTTGGCGGTTTTTTTTATATTAAAAACATACAAGCAGAGCAGAGCACATTTTCTATTGAAAAAAATTGTCAACCGATGTCAAAAACTTAAAAAAAAACGAGACATTAAACATGTTTAATATATTCATAAAACATAGAACTTTAAAACATTAAAACCAAAAAACAGCAAAAGATCCATACATCAGCATCGCAAACGTGCTTGATAATTATTCAGATAGACACATTTATTACTTATTTAAATATATGACAACGTTTTTTCCATTTCAATTAAACATTTGATATAACTTAAGTTGATCGTGTCTAAGTTAAATTGTTATTGATGACAACATAAGATTAGTAGTAACGTCAGATGTTGTTGATGACAACATAAGATTATTAGTAAGGTCAGATTTAATAGATTCGTCCATGTTCGAAATACTTTAAGGTTTCTGATCAGCTGATAAAACTTGTTTCAGAAAATATCTTTTCAGGGATTTCAAACTTTTATCTTTTCAAACTGACTGATAACTGCTGTTATTTCTAATAAAATCTAGAAAAATCATCTAATAAAAAAAAAAGAAGAATAAATTATGAACCATTCTGTCAAGCAGTTTTAATAAGTGATGAAAGCAAAGAATTTCAATTATGTTGTTGTTCATATCAATATGAAAAAAAAATGTAAAAATATATTTTAAAAGTTGTTCAAACTGAAAAAATCACGCATTTATGAGATTGAAATACCTCCATTAAACTTTTAAAGTAGAGGAAAATTAAAAATGTAGGTGGCGTGCAAAAAATGTAATATGGAATTAGACAAAAGTTGATTCAATTCTATCGTCGTCATCTATTGCTTCTTCATTTTCGCTGTCTTCTCTTTTAGCGGTACTTTTTAACGAGTGTTCGTCACCTAATTGAACATCTTTTGAATGTTGTTGTGAAGTCTGTTGAGAGGTGTGGAGGTGGGTCTGATGAGGTTTCTGTTGCTGCGAGTCAGAAAATTGCTCATGTTCTGGATAAAAATGATGCTGTTGAAGTTGAAAAAATTGACCATCACCAGCAGCTTTTGTTGTTATGACGTTCTCAGCAGACCTTCTCGAAGGTAGGAGAAGTGTTTGTTGAGAAGAAACATCAAGTTTTTTTTGTTGATGTTCTAGGTGCTGATTGTAAGGAGGAGGCTGAGAGGATGAAGTTTGATCTGGTTGTTGTCGAGGTTGTTGTTTAATTGGTTTCCACAATTTAGGTGCGTCATGAACATTCAAAGACTGTCTTTTTTTGTGCTGCAAATGTTTACGCTCATTAACTTTGCTAAGTTTTGATTGGTTTAGTTGCATCGCAGCAGAAGGAGCAGAGCATAATATGTTTGCATTCAACAAACTCATTGCTGTTTGATTTGAAGCACCATCTCCTGCTTGCGGTTGATATATTTGTTCCGCTGATTGAATTAACAAATTCTGGTTTTCAGCGCTGGCTCCGTCACGTTTATGATTTTCATGTTTGCTGGCATTTGAAGAGAAATTTTCCATCTGTTTAAATGTATTTGAATTGGAGTCCGATTCATATAAAGGATTAGAAAGAATTTCTTGAAATGTCTGTAGTTTTGGTTTCAACTTACGTCCATCCGTTTTGGTATACTTCTTTATTTCTTCCTTTGAAATATTTGAATCAGGTTGACTCTCAGGCTCGTAGGCTGATATTTCAAATTCGTCATCAACATTTTCATCCTCCACATCATCATCCTCATTCCCGATCAATGCAGACTGCACTGAACTGGATCTGGATCGTTTAGAGGATTGAAAGAAGAGTGGGGGAATGACAGTAGGAGCGAATGGATCGTCAGGTTCAAATTTCATTATTTGTTTAATTGATTGCTGTTTGTTTGGGAGCTCGTAATGAAGCAACTGCCGCTCTCCTAATCTGCTGCTCTTTGGATAATCAAGAAGTGAGCCAGACGACAGACCGATCTTCGCTATCTCATTTTTATTATCTGCCAAATAATCTGATGCTAAAGTATCGTAATCGTCAGCCTCGTTGTTTTCATCACCAATATCATCATCATCATCATCTTCGAACGTTTCAAAGTCAGCGGATTTCGAAGTCTGTTGATGAAAGGGAACCATGGGAACTGTGGACGAAGAAGAAGAAGCTGGCATGGCTGTGGTGGCAGCTTTCTTCTGCTGGTCATTAAATGCGGTCGACTTTTTAATAACGGAAGCAAGGTTGTCATCGGGGTTTTTTGCATCAGCATTTGACAAAATATTGTCCATTGCGTGGGACTTGTTTGTGGACAGCCACTGTTTCTGCCGGGTTGCCTGGTAACATTTTTTATGCAAGATGATACATTTAATAAAAATAGATTAAGCAAATTTTTGTTGACAAACTGGAATTTAAGAACAAATTTGAAAATATTTAAAAAAAGATGGTATAATGGTTAAGACATAAGACGCCTGGTCCTGCTATGTTGGTGGGAGGGTTCCAAAAAATCCTGCCTATCACATGCAATGTGCATGGATTCATGCGTATTCACGTGTGTGTTGCTGATATTTATAAGAATTAATTATGAAAGAATTAAAAATAAAAAAACTAATAATACAATAACAGTAAAAACAATTTTAAAATAATACCTGTTTGTATTGAGATTTAGTAACTTTGTTTATTCCTCTGGCATAACCTGCAACACCTCCTATTCCACCACCTCCACTGCCACCACTTCCTCCCCCTCCAAAACTACCTCCTCCCAGGTCCATAGATGCGTGTGTTTGCAGAAGAGCCATCCTGTGCTCTTCTTTCCATCTCAACTGCTTCTGTCGTTCTTCTTCACGCTTTTTTCTCGCGTCCTGACAATCATTATTCCATGTGGATTCAGTGAGAAATTATTTTATTCAAATTTTATTCACTCCTAAACATTTCTCGGTGGAAAACAAATAAACGAATGAATCTTTTCAGTTAATGAACTAAACAGACCACTAACTAACTGACCGACCTAGTAGCCAACCAACCAAACCAGCCAGCCATGCAGCCAACCAACATTAACCGACCAGTCAGCCACTCACCCATCCTTAGCAACCAACTAATCAATCAACCGACCAACCAACTAACCGATCAACCAAATAACCGAAGCACCAACCAACCAACCAACCAACCGGTTAGTTATTCAGCTACGTTCGTTCATTCATTAATAATGAATTAATTCATTATTACATTCGTTCATTCAGTTAGAAGAAGATCTATTTATATAAACCTCTTCTTTTTGTTTTTGAACCAAATGTTGAATCTGCCTGAGCAGCTCATCCACTTTTGATTCTGTTGAATCTTCATCCATTGCACTCAAAGACAGAGCTCTATTCAGTGGGAAAAAATCATTCTTTTCCTGGAGTAACTGTTTCATAATGTGCGTACAATTCATTAATCACTTCATATTAAATTACACTGGCAAAAAATGTTATTTAGCATTTAAGGTGCTAATGATCCAAATCAACCTAGCTAAGATTTATATTTTAGAAATGAATCAAATAAAAACAGAAAAATACCATAATAATAGCGTAAACCCACAACTTGCTGATACAAACCAATTTGTGCACATAAAGTTCTAAGGCTGTGTAGTCACTTTTCTTAGTATCGTGCAGGTGTATGAAGAAGAAAATGTAAGCCCAGATGCAATGCTCCTCATTTATGTGCAGATCAAACCCCTGTCAGAAAAATTTACAAGTTTCAGATTATTGTTGGAATGAAATTTTCACGTTTAATTATTTATCAACGTACGATTGTGCCTGAACGAAATAAAAGTTTTGAAAAAAATATTTCTCATCTGCCAATCTCTTTCAACCAGTCTGAGTGAAGTTACGTTGCAACAAACAAAATTTAAAACAGCAAAATTTGAATGAGGGTAAAGCGCCTTGCACTGCTGTTCGAGTGTAGAGATCCCCGCTTATCACATGCAATGAAAATGTGATACGTTGTTTCACGTGTATTTGCATGCACTGTGTGTTTGTTGTTGATGCCTCCAATAAATATTGAGAAAAAATTGTTATGAATAAATAAATTAAGTCATTACTACATTCCTTTTGCTAGCTGAGCTGTTGGTTAGGGAGCAGAAGTAATTTTTTTTTAATATTATATGGTACCTAAGTGGATAAACAAAAGAATTTCTTCGGTATAAAAATTAACTTGCATATGTTTAACTCAGAATCCATGCATCACACCCAAAATAAATAAAAATTTTGGTTTTGAACTAAAAATATACTTGTAAATGATTTATGATCTACCGTTAGAAAAATCTAAAAGTTAAACAGAAAGTTAACTAACAACTAACATGCTGTGATTTTCATCAATAAATAAATGAATAAATAAATATATAAATATATATATATAGTATTGTATGAATTCTACCGAATTGTTGGCATCAATTTCAAAAATTGAAAAAACAAGCTTTAAATTGATTGATTGATGCTAAAAATTCTGTAGAATTCATACAATACTGTATAAAATATGGTCTCCTTCCAAAACATATATATATATATATATATTTCATTAAACGCGATGCTTATATTATTGTTATTTAATTTTTTATTAAGATTTTCTATTTTTCTTATTATTTTTTATAATTATAATTTAAATTAAAAATTAGAACACCAATATTCATTATATAATTATTAAGCGACGTTTCGAATTTTATAATTCATCTTCAGGCAATTTAATATTAATTCAAATAAAACATAACAATAAACTGTCAGATGACGTAATAAGAGTTGAGCGCGAAAGTAATGTAACGATTAAAGTTAAATAACGTAAGTAGTTAAATTAAGTATAATAAACAATTATTTTGTAATATAACATAATAAAATATATTATATGTGCAATATTATGTTAATAATAATAATAATAAATTAAACATTTCGTGATGAAGGTAAAATAAAATTGGAATAAATTTGTTTGTTCAAATTAGGTTTTCAAAATAGGGATTCTAAAATTTGTAGTCTGTTAAAATTAGTGTCTTTCATTAATATTTTAGTATTATCTTCTAATATTTTGCGGGATAATTGCTGGTTGTGGCAGTCATGGTAGTGTTGATTTGGAGCTCCGATGTTCAAATGGCAGGTTAAACGGCGTGTCAGTTTTGTGGTAGTCATTCCAATATAAGAAGATGGACGAAGCCTACAGTCTTCGTGAGGACATAGAAATTGGTAGATGACGTGGGAGTGCTGTGTTGTTGCTAGTTTAACGTTGGGACTACTTTTTATTAGTAGTTGTTGCGACTTAAAATTTTTATAATAAATAAGAAGGTTTATTTTTTCATTAGAATCAACTGGATGGACTCCTTTTTTAATGATTTTTCTAATTATATATTCGTCTTCTTTATACGAAGAGCTCATTAAGTTACGATAAAATAAAGTTAATTTTGCACTGTCGGTATTGTTGTTTGAGTTGTTGTTATTGTTATGAATGGAGTTTGCGATGACGAGGTTGTCATTGATTGTGTTGTTATCATTGTCATGATCCACATGGTCATCGTTATTGTCGCTGTTATTGTTGTTGGAGTTGGTAATAGAGTTTGCATCATTGTCACCTACATGATCAGCAACAACGTCGTTGTTTGAGTTGTTTACATTACTGACAAGATTATTGGAAATAACATGGTTGTCGTTGTTGATTAGGTTATCGACAATGACTTGTGCAATAGTAACATGGTTAACATTGTTTTCGTTGTTATTTGTGTTATCATTATCATGATCATTGATAATACGTCTATCATTATTGTTCGTGTTATTATCGCTTATATTGTCGTCATTGTTGTTTGTGTTGTTTCTTGTGTTGTTGTCAGTGTTGCTTGTGTTGTTATGGCTGTTATGATCGATAGAAACGTGGTTATCATTGTCTATTACATTGTGATTATAACTTGAGTTGTTTTGAACGTTTTCATTGTTATCATCTACTTTAATATTATTATTTTGAATCTTTCTAATTTCATTGGTCATTATTATATCTATTGTTGAATTGTTAAAATTATTGTTGACAAGGAATTGTTTTATTTTATCGAGTTCTTTACGAAATTCAAGTGGTTCAGAGCTGTTTGAATATGCACGTCTGACATACGATATTATCACACTATTCTTATACCAATCTGGACACTCGCTATTTCCTTTCATGCATATCCCGTTGTTGGTTGGTTTGACGTAAACAGATGTGCGAAATGTGTTAGGTGTTAACTGATCAATTAAAATATCAAGATAGGTCAAGAAAATAATAATAACTAATAAGAAAAATAGAAAATCTTAATAAAAAATTAAATAACAATAATATAAGCATCGCGTTTAATGAAATATGCTTAAATGAAAATTTGTTACCGAAATTTACTGATATATATATATATATATATATATGTATATATATATATATATATATATATATATATATATATATATATGTGATTTCTTATTTTATTGATTCCGACTTATTATTTAAACTGTACAATTTTCCGACAACTGGCACACAACGTATAAAATTGGTGTCGGATTGCAAATACCTCATTCAATGGTGCATCATACAACGAATCATTATTACGTTTATATACGCATCTTACTTACTAAACTATCTTTCGTTGGTAAATATAAAACAGACGCCATTTTAAATTTTAAAAGCTTTTATTAGGAATGATAAATAGTACTCGGTCTCTTTAAATAAATTATAAAAATTCAAAGTTAGGAATATCTCCAAGTTCTTGGATTAGCGCCTGCACATCTGTCTCGTCCAACTCGAGAGTAATGAGTTCCTCCACAACGTCGTTGTTGAGGTTGGAGACAACCCTCTGTTCTTCCGCGCTTAGCCCCGCACTTTCGTTCTGTGCTGGTTTGTTTGCGTTGTTGGCCTTCTTTCTTGGACAATTGTATTTCTTGTGCCTAAGCAGATGCCTAGGCCTTCGCGCCACAAATCCACACTCGCATATTTTTTTGTCACTGGAGTTTTTTTTTTTTTTTATTCATTTTTTTTATATACTCGAAATTAATAATTTTGCACAGAAGAAAAACAAAATACGATTTTTGCAAGCGGACGAAATGCGTGCCTTCTCCTCATTGGCTATGACATTCCTTTCCTATAATCATTATGCGCACAATTTTTTTTGTTTTGTTTTTTTATATTTTTTGTTTTTATTTTTTTTGTTTTTTTTTTATTATTTTTATTCCAACCAGAAAGAGGGGGTGATGAAAAGTGTCAGAATTATGAAATAATACTGACTAAAAATACTTCAAAGTCCTTCAACGCAAAATTAATTCACTCGATAGGTGGCTTGATGCAAAGTAATTCACTCGATAGGTGGCTTGATGCAAAATAATTCACTCGATAGGTGGCTAGATGATTTTTGTTTAGGATGAGGTTTTTTGCATTTACAAATTATTTTAAATTGAATTTAAAATTAGGCCATATAGATATATGATTTCACAGAATCCAAGGCCTGTTTTCACTGGGCCTGTCAGTCAGTCGGTCGGCGTTCGCACAACCCTGGCCTGTTTTCACTGGGCCGTCGAGTCTGGTTGGCTTCGCACAACCCTGGCCTGTTTTCACTGGGCCTGTCAGTCAGTCGGTCAGCTTTCGCACAACCCTGGCCTGTTTTCACTGGGCCGTCGTCTGGTTGGCTTTCGCACAACCAACACAAAACAAGAGTCAGAACAACACTGGGAACAAATTGTGTGACTTTAGTACGCGAGCGAAACTATGCCAATGAGTATAGAGTCTCGTACCAAATCCACTTTTGAGAACTTAGAACGTTTCTGAAACTATGCCAATGAGCATAGAATCACGAATTAAGTCTCTTAGATACCAGAATAGGCACCGATTACTCGAGGCTGTCTAACTGGTGAACCCAAGGCGGACTCTTTTCGAGAACTTAAGACGTTTCTGAAACTATGCCAATGAGCATAGAGTCACGAATTAAGTCTCTTAGAAACCAGAATAGGCACCGATTATTCAAGGCTGCTTAACTAGTCTTTACTCTTAAGTCATAATTATGCTTAGTTATTTCTACTGATCTCTTTAAATGATCTCGCACTAATTCAAATGCTTGTGTTAAATTTTCTTTTTGTTCCTTTACAAATTCGTACATTTGCTTTGGTGATGACTTCTCCGTGTTAGACGTCAAATTAATCGGTATTGTCGCTTCTCTATCATGCATTAGGAAAAAATGTGAAAATCCAGTACTACTCTGCACTGTTGTTCGGTATGCAAACATTACGAATGGAAGAATTTCGTCCCAATCTCGATGATTCTTATTTATCACTTTTCCTATCATTTTATTGAGTGTTCCATGAAATCTTTCTACCAGACCATTCGTTGAGGGTTTATAGGTAGTGGTACGGATTTTATCTACGCCAAGTTGTTCACAGATATACTTGATCAGTTAGTATCGTTTTGGTAGTCCGTATCTACAAAATACATTTTGAATTAATTTATGAGCAACATAAGATGCATTTACGCGTTTCAAAGGAATAGCTTCTGTCCACTTTGTGAAATAATCGATGACAGTTAAAATGTATTTATGCTTCTTACTTGATTCTGGGTGTGGCCCTGTTATATCAACTCCTAATCTTTCCCACGGCTCACCGACCAACATTGGCTGTAATTCACTTTGTTTAAAATGTTTTTGTCGGTTAAATTTGCTACATTGTTCACATAATTTGTGGGTTAATTCAACGTCTTTCCTCCATCCAGGCCAATAAAATCTTCTTCAAATTGCCATGTTAGCTTTTTCATTCCTAAGTGGGCTCCATTCATCCCACTGTGCAAGTCTCTAAGTACTTCTTGCCGCGTTGTGTAGGGAACAACTATCTGATAAAAATTGTTAATTCGTCTCTTCAATACACCTTTATCTGTTAAAAACAAGTTGTCATACTGTGCAAGTAATATTTTAACATCTTTTCCTTTATTAACAAATTGACTCAAATCTGGTACTACTGAATGTTTGATGACGTCTTTAATTAAGGATAAGTCTTTGTCTTTCTCTTGTTCTTCAACCCAATCAACACAATTATCTACTTTATTTTCTGTTATAACACCACATACTGCTCTTGACAATCCATCAGCTTTTGTTTCGACGGCCCAGTGAAAACAGGCCAGGGTTGTGCGAAAGCCGACCGACAGACTGACAGGCCCAGTGAAAACAGGCCTTGGATTCTGTGGAAACGAATCCGCCTCGTTCTTTTGTTTTTGTTGTGCTATTTGTGGACCTATGGTTCTTTGCTGGATTCTATACTCATTGGTATAGTTTCGCAAGAAGCTTGGAATTCCCATAGGCTCCTATTTTTGTAATTTTTCTTCATTCATTTCATTTATCTCTAGGAGTTGTATCAACACCATATCGGTCACACACGTCGAGGTTGTACGATTGAACGGCAAGAAACATATTCCAAGTTGCCCGACCCAACAAGAAAAAGTTCTAATTCCTGTATTCCAGTTTGTTCATTGACATTATTTTTAACATTATTCTAGAGTTCAGTTAGTTCAATTCCTTTTCATTTACTTCCGTCTCCGTCGATTAATAAAATTGTTATTGAATATTTTACGCGTTCGTGTGTTACTCAGTAAAATCATATAATTCGAAAAAGCCCAGTGCCACACAGGACTGGTCGAACTCACAATAAAAATATACAAAAATTATTATCGGACCATAAAAAAATTCCCTGAGAAAGATAGAGAAAGAGATTACCTCTCTTTCGCACAGACACCACACACGCGAGCAAAATTTCCACAGGATTTATCCACACATTCATATATTCATTAAAATTTTCGACAATATATATATATATATATAAAGATATATGTAAAGATATATATATATAAGAGTGGAATGAAAAATTTTTTTTTAATTTTAATATTTCTGTACTGCCAATCAATGACCCATTGTCTAAGATGTGTTCGCGCAAAATTTTAGCTTTCTAAATCAAAATCTTCAGGTGGCGCATCTGGTTTGAACTTTGAAAAAATCAACTTTTGATTTACTGACGAAACTTTGTTTTACACAATGCTTTTATATATTTTATATTCTGATACTTAAAATTCTAGTACATTTGATAGTTATTATTAAATCAAAATAAAAACAATTGTTCTAATGTCGTAATTCCAAAGCCTCCGCACCTTCTTTTTTACCAAAATACTGAGATTTGGTAATAAAAATTTGCATATCTTGCCTGGCTTTTATTCTAGTTCGAATAAATCCATCTCTAGCTCCTGGTCCACAAACGGATATTGAAGCCTCTGTCAAGAGCTTGACGCACCTTTATACTGCCAGAGTGAGGCAAGGATACTTTTCAATTTCAAGATGACATTTTGAAGAAATGTCATTTGAAATTTCTATGTCGCTATATTTCATTGTCAGTGGAGGTTGTGTTATTTTTTCTATTCTATCGCCCAATCTATTAAATCATAATAGCTTGATGCATCAACCTTAAGCTCTGAAAGTTTGAATTCAAGAACTTTTTTTTCCTTTGGATTCTTTTCTTGCTTTTTTTTTCTTTTTTTTTTCTTGGATTCTTTTCTTGACTGATCGTTTAATTTGGCGCAAAAAGTTGATGGCAAAGAGAACAACGTCCTACCTCGGGAAACCGGGCCTCTGGACGCAAAACGAAGATTGATTCTTGTTTTTAAAATTCTCCAAAGAGTTAGTTCTCTTATGTGCTCTGCATCATCTTGTAACATAGCTAGCAAAAAATTTTCTGGATGAGCGAAGAAAGCATTTTTTTGAACGGTTTAAAGACAATGTTTTTAGGTCATCACGCAAATACAAACACCTTTTAACTATGTTGAAGACATGAGTTGGACCATATTTACGAGATGATTTTGTTTTTATATCAAACCAGGTTAGTGCGTAAACTTTCATGATGAAATTGGCAAATTCATTCAAGTTTTCCATCGGGCTAGTTGTTCCAATATATAACCGAAGAATATCTGATACAGATATTTTTAATCGGTGCTTAGCAAATCAGTATTCAGGTCTGGCAATTCTGTTGGGATTGATTCAAATGCTTCTACATTGAAGTCGAGACAGCTTTCGAGACTTTTTCCTATGCTGCCAGAAAAGCTATTAGGGCCTATTGTAGTACCGTCGAGACTGTAAAACAATCGGCGAAACGGTAATTCATTAGCGTGTAACAGGCACACAAGCCTTGGCAAAGGTCGTTTCAGGTGTTTTTCTAGTAAAACAATGGCTTCATTTTTGTGTCCCGTGTTTACCGCTGTGCCATCGCATCCAATTGCCACCAAGGAAGAACGAAGTTCAAATTTCATTACAAGAAAATAAACAATGCTTTTTTCAATCGTATTTGCTTTTCCAAAATCAATAGAGAGATGACCGATGTATTCAGAATCTGGCTCTCTGAAATATACTCTTCACTAATAGTTTTCCGATGTGCTGTATTGAAATAAATAGCTGTAATAATTTTATTGCCTTCAGCATGTTGTAAATGTTTGCGTACTTTTTTTTCGCTCTCGACGTATCTTGCTTCTGTCTATTACTTTTGATGAGTCGTCTGTTCTAATAACATTCAAATCAAGCAAGGCAGCGTTACTAATAAATGCAGCAGATCGATAAGAAATTCCAGTTCTATCACATGCGGTAGCTAGATTTTGCAACTGACCTCTCATTTGTTGAGTTTCTTTGCCATATCGACGTGGCGTTTCTATGATGCGAATCTCATCCTCATCTGATATATCAGTTGAAGAACTACCAGTACCAGATGTTGAAACAAATAACAAAGACAAATTAGTTAAGCGAATTGAAAAATTATTTTCTTGTTAGAAGTACAAATACGAAATTTTTATGAAATGCCTTCATGGTGCGCCACCTCGAGATAAAGTCGCAGACTTTTAATTTTTTGTACGAATGATTCTTTCCCATAGGGTCATCGATTAATGATACAGGAAATTAAAAAATAAGGAAAAGTTTTTTTGCCAAATTCACTCACTATATAAACTTCATTAAATATTTTTGCCCATTTTGCGTTGATTAGTTTTTTACCAATAGATTCAACATTTCGTATTGTATTTGGTTTAAATCATATTTATTAAACAGTTGG